ATTTCAGTGTATCTGCTGGATTTTCTGCTAAATCTAGTGTTATAGTATAAACCGTCTGTATCCCCTTGTGTATCTACCTACTAAGGGTACCCGGGTATATACTGTGGGGAGATGTATCTACTGTAGCTGTGAGGACTATTAGTGAAGGGTTAAACAATGAACGGTTTCTTGTATAGGAATGTTGTAATATAATGTGAATGACAGTACAGTAATGGAGGTTGGGAGTACGTTACTGTAGTGGTAATACTGTAACGAGTACAGTAGTAATAACGGTGACGAGTACTAGCAGTGGTGGAGGGTGTAGTAGTACAGCTATACTCAAGGTAACAAGTTACGTAAATCTACCACCCAAGACGAGTGAGCTCAGACGTGGTGGCCAATGGAGTTCCCAAACATTTGCAGTAGGAGTGGATTGTTCCAGAAACGCTGCTGCCTACAGATTCAGGTGATGAGCTACCAGTACACGTGCCTAGTGGTTGTGAAGAAGCTACTTTGAGTGGTTGGGGGAAATGTAGGCGTTAGTGTTGTGCTGCAGACATTCCTCAGTAGCCAGACCAGGGGAACTACGGACCTCACCCAGAACATGTACTTTGTTGTGCTAGGTTATATAAGCATTTTATGGACTCCATTTGTCTTGTTTATCCTCCCACTTCGGATCATTGTGGTAGCAAGAATCTGGCCTCGAATACAGAATTGTTCTAACCTCGGGTATTCACCAAGTGGGTCTTCCACCATAATTACTGGCCACTGTACTACCACCTTTCCATTTATACCGATTATGAACTGGGAAGGGAAACATGGAATTAAGAGGATGAGAAAGCACAAGGGGTTCAAAGACAAGAAGAATTGATGGAGCATTTACATTAACAAGTATAGTCGGTTGTATCATGACCACACAACGTCATCTATGTATTCAACAGTAAATTCGGCCACCTAAACTGCCAGCTTTCGACGAGTTATGGGACCAGGTGGACTCGTGTGCAGGTTTGACAAAGTGGCTATGGACACCAGGTGCAGTAAGGATATATGTCCACTATCCTCACTGTTAAGTCATATTAAGTTTGATATTGCTTCCTTAGCAGAGAATCAATGATAAGTTAAAAAATTCTTTGCTCTAGGCTCGAGATTCCATTCGTACATGGATTCAGGTGGAAAGCTTCAGATGGATGAAAGTTAGCGTTCATACATTGCTCGATTGAAGCTACCAAGTAAATGTATTGTACTAGCTGGTCGGGTGGGGTCTTAAAGCCAAATTAAGGATCATCTAGAAAGAACAAGAGTAGTCCCCACGATCTTGTGTAAACCTGAATTATTTAAGCTGGTAAATTGTATACAAGTTATTTGAGAGGGAAATGTCAAGTCTAGTCTTAAGTTGATCTAAAAAAAAAACCAGAAAACCGTTATTAAAGTAACTAAAAAACGGGGTTTAAAGTTTAAATCAAGTTTATAGTAGAAGTATGTAGATCATACCTAAAGTTAAGTAAATACAGCAGTTCGCCCTACTCTGAATCTTCCCCACTAGCCGGGTTCGTCCTTAGCTGCCCACATAACCAAGGTAGGGAGGTCACTGTGCCGTGGGTGAAGCTGGAATGGACCACTTTCAGCTAGAGTTTAGTTTAACAAATTTATTGGCAGAGCTTGTAATACAGTTTGCCTATTCTGAGTAATTCAGTCAGGTCTTGACACTGAGGGTGGTATCACTTCTCACTGTCACGCAGGACAGAGGTTCACACACAAAGAAATACATCATATTCATTAACAACTAAATGTATATAGGTCAGGTTCATATGGATAATGTCACTGTTCACTGCCATGCTGGACAGAGGTTCGTAAACAAAGAGTTGCATCATATTCATTGACAGTACATATACGTAAACACACACACATACATATACGTACATACACATATACATATACATGTACACGTACATGCACACACGCACACATACATATACGTCGGTCAGATTCATGTGGGTAATGTCACTTTTCACTGCCATACAGGACAGAGGTTCGTACACAAAGAATGCATCATATTCATTGACTATATATAGGTCAGATTCATGTGGGTAATGCCACTGTTCACTGCCACGCAGGACAGAGGTTCGTACACAAAGAAGTAAATACATCACATTCACCAGCAGCATATATAGGTCAGTGGATCACATACATTGGAGTCATTCTAATTGAAGACTAATCAGTGTGGGCTAGCAAATTTGGGATAAACGGCAAGAATGTCCTCAAGCACACCTGATTCAATGAAGTAATTACATAGTTCAAGATACAGTAAGTCAGGTGGCCTGAAGTCTTTGACAGTGTCACATTCAATAATATAGTGTTCAAGTGTATGCTTTAAAGGTTTATCACAAAGTTTACATGCCGAGTGTTCCGGTATGGGTACAGCGTTACTAACTTGCCAGATGTGTCTGTATCCTAGCCTAATTCTGGCCACGACTACATCACAGTGTCTGGTTCTGTCCTTATGCTGGCCATACCGGTACCTCTTGTTACAAAATTTGTCATATTTACTAATGCTACAACTGTCAGGTCTCTCTGCATATCTCACTTCTTCTAGATCAGAGTTCATGATTCTGACTTGAATGTTTTTAATTACGGCATTGGACAGACCAAGGTCGCGGTCAACATTTTCTTTCTTACACGCCTCATTGGCCAGTCTATCAGCACGGTCATGATACCTGATTCCAACATGGGACGGAATCCACACAAATTCGATACGAAAGTTGTTCTCATTGGCAGTTATCACATTCCTTTTAATATCACATGCAACTTTAGACAGAGCCTGACGGGCTGTTCATTGATTTCAAAGCACTTTGAGAGTCACAGAATATCACCCCACCTCCATTTTCTTTGAGGTAGTCTGTGGCTAAGTAGATTCCAGTTAGTTCAGTTTGTGTTGTGCTGGCCCAGTTGTTCAGCCTTTGTTTGGTTGACACTATCCTCTTTCTTTATACATTACAATTACACAGCCTGTTCTACCTGTGTTTGTCTGCACAGAACCATCAGTAAAAGCATAACATTCACTTGATTTAATACTCTGTGTCTGTTAATAGTTTCTAGTGTGACACACCGACACATCGGTGTTTAACATTTGCTTACTATCAACAGGAGTGTAATTAATAGGAACTGATATGTCCAGCCAAGGAGGAATAGCATTAATAGACTCGTCTGGGGTTATTGGGACATTCAGTTTCAGGAGATCTGCAACACTTTTATGAAGCCACGCCCCAAAGAGTCTTTTGAGAGACTCGATTCATCCCGCCGCTGAAACATTACCAAAAACTACTCCACGTAGATCTCGGATATCTGGAACAAGCAAGTAATCAGAGATTAAATATAGAATTATACTTAGTATCAAACTCAGTCAGAGAAATAGCTTACCAATTACATTAATATATAACTAAGTTATATCAAATATAAATAGTTCATCAACAAAACTAATTTTTAACCAACACAAGAAATATACTCACGAAAAATAACACCAACAGCTGAAGAAATGTATATCCATGGTTCCAGTCGCACTACTTCCTTTGAGGTTATGATCAGTTCTGACCTCCCGTCACAGCTGTCAGAGTATTTAAGGACGGCAGTGGGGGGGGAGATACAGGTGATTTAGGCGGGAAAATCTTAACTAGGCTAACCACCTCATTACAAGTGTTTAAGACATTTTATTTTTCGATAATTGTTCTATAAAACTTCACTATGTCTTGACTAGTTATCGCCTTTCTATTGCTAGTTTAATATTTTTCTATTGATAACTTGTTAATTTTTCACTTTAGAGATTAATGAATGTGGTTTTACCGGGAGTTAAACAGGCGTAACAACCATTAGCGGCTTTACTGTGGTGGTGTCTGTTTCTGGCCGCCCATAGAAAGCCGTAGAATTCGTCAAGCTATATTTATCAAAACTTCAAAAACCAGATCACAATTGACTTTGATGTGAAAGATTATGAATAAAGAAAAATACAGCGTATATTAAAGTTGGAAGTTTGTCTACATTTGTCACTTTCACATAAATACACATCTGAATCTGTAGATAATGGTCACTCATAATAAGGTCATTTAAAAATGAAAAGTCTTTAAGCTTGGTAATAAAATAAACTAATTCAATAAATGTCTGGCTGGGTTCCTTTTATACATTCCTAAATCTACTATAGAATTCATTGGCCTCTTTAACAGTGTAAGCAACGGCCTTTATCCTCTCAAGCCAACCATAGAGTCTCAGAGCCTTATTGGACAACATCGTCACAAGTATTGGTAACAATAAAAATGGTTCAACTTCTCACTGATTCTAAATAATAAAAGTTTCACCCTTTAAGTGAACCAGCAGTACTTAAGTATTCCAGGCAGTATATAAGTACCACCAACATATAGGCTTTACTAACGTACAGTATTGTTAATGAATGTGGTGAGAATACTTCAAAGTTTGTACATATATAATAGATCTATAATTTGCTTTAGTTCCTCCAAGAAGTACAAGTTTCTGTAGTGCCCCAAGAACGAAGGCACATTTTCTTTCTTGTTAAATTACTGAAATCTTTATGTTTTTCAGTTATTTCACACCCAAAATCATTTTATTTTTACGGAATCTATTACATGCTAACATAGTTTTATGTAAATGGTAATAAATGATTATTCAAATGGCTGTTTTATATATTCAACGTAAAAAAGTAATAAGATAAGGAATGATATGGAGGTGAGCGCCATCTATGAGTTAACAGCACTACTAAACCTTCATCACGGGGTACAAGGGAGAGTTGGAGGTGAGCGCCATCTATGAGTTAACAGCACTACTAAACCTTCATCACAGGGTACAGGGGAGAGTTGGAGGTGAGCGCCATCTATGAGTTAACAGCACTACTAAACCTTCATCACGGGGAACAAGGGAGAGTTGGAGGTGAGCGCCATCTATGAGTTAACAGCACTACTAAACCTTCATCACGGGTTACAGGGGAGAGTTTCTCGTCTGGTGGTTCTTGGATCCATCACCAGCTGACAGCCCCGAAAATATCGGCCTGAGGCATCGGTAAGACATTTCTTCATAATATTATACCAAATATTTAACATTAATAATACTAAGAAGTTATTGGAGAATTATTATGGTTAGACAGAGTGTATTTAATGGTTAATTTAGTTAATTGTGCTGGGTCATCTGGTGAAGTACTGTATTGGTATATTGTTGCCACTATATGACATCAAAGTTTAAAGTATGTTTTTCCGGTGGTTTTTGATGTAATGAACGAATTTGACCTTCATTTGTGGCGCAAATCAATAGTTTTGAGATAAGCCCCTGGTGAATTAATATGAGCCCCTGGTGAATTAATATGAGCCCCTGGTGAATTAATATGAGCCCCTGGTGAATTAATATGAGCCCCTGGTGAATTAATATGAGCCCCTGGTGAATTAATATAAGTGGACAACCATGGAGTTGTTGATCAATGTTGTTCCGATGGTTTAGGTAAATATTCGTCCATTGGCTGTCCTCGGGTTTTGTATGAGAATGGGTTTTTTTTCGAGATTTTTCTGTGTTGTACTCAAATGTGCCCTTTTCTTTTGTAAAGTAATGTGTTTTGCAAAAAAATATCACTTTCAATTTTAACAAACTGCTAATTTTGCCAATAAAATAGAGGTCAAATTTGAGTAAAACACCAAAGTACACCATAAACTAATTCTCGTACCAAAGAACCTACCTAACCTAACCTACGAGGAGGAGACGAGTTAGGAGCATAACCTCGAGTAAACATGGCGGGAACCTGCGGACAGCCAATGGACCAATATTAACCCACTTTTCTTCAATGACGTTTCCTTCACAAATGACTTAAATATAGCAGGGAGATTAGGTAATTTTAAGTAATTTCTGAGGAAAACGTCGTAGAAGAAACGTGTTTTAACATTGTCTAAACCATCGGAAAAACACATTGCTCAACAAAAACTCAATGTTGGTCCACTTGTAAAAATTTACCACCCTGCCCCTCAGAAACTAGAGCTATAAGAATTGCGGTAAAAAGTGTTCAAAACGCACAAAAACCCGTCGGAAAGTTTTGGATTTAACCTAACCAAACCTAAGCTAACGTGGGTGTGTACCACCATGAACAGACATACATAATGAACTGTTAAATATCTCGCTTAAACGTATTTTGTTCCAGAAATGTCATTGAAGAAAATTGTCTTGGAATTGTCAAAATTACCGATTGCAATTATAAAATTCCCGAGATTCGTTTAGCGACAAGTGAAATGGCAAAAATAGGTTTTCCCTAGTGTATTATGTTTTTCGAGCAATTCTAACCTTCATTTCTGGTATAAATTAGCCGTTATGGAGATACGATCTCGGTTACCGGGACGAGTTTGATTTTGTTAATTTTTTTCCACAGGTGGTGTTATTATAGAATTTGAAGAGGTGACATTTGCTAGATGCTAATACTGTATAATCTGATGTAATATAACCAATCAAAGCGACCTACCTAACCTTACCTAACTTCCTAGCCAGGGCGTGGACTTGCCATATTAAACAAAGTACTTATTTTGATATCTGGTACCAACTAAAGCAACTTTATAGAAGCATCACGGTGTAATTTGTATTTTTGTGGATGCAAGAGTGCGCTCGGACTCTGCGAGTCGGCTATAAACAAACACGGCTCGGCAAATTTTTCGGAGTGTTTACGGTAAATGCAATTATTCGCCGCAGAGCACGGAGACGTCATTTTAGTGTCGCGCGCTATGTTTTTCAGTGTTTTACCCCCATTTCCTCCAACCTTCATCCCTTGCCCACTACAGGTGATTTAAGATCATATGAAAAATAAAGAAAAAAGTGCTTTTAATTAAAATAAAAAGTTTTTGCCTCTTTTAAAATATTAGGCTATAATAAGAACACCTATGGAAAATATGAACCAAATCGAAAAACTATTTCTGGTGGTAGTGGTGTTCTGAGAAAAAAAGAAAGAAAACCTAACCTAACCTTTCCTATCCCTTAACACTTCAAATAATATATAAAGGTTACTTTATTTAACTGATAAAAGAAAAAGTTATTTCATTAATGTTTTGTCAGTGAGTCATTAGCATTTATAGGTCACTAGGGAAGCTGGAATACGTTTAAAAAATAATTTGCACTTGCATAAATCACCCAATAGATTTGAACTGTCCTCTGATTGGTCACAGCAGATAATGTGAAATTCAAACGAAAGAAATTTAAATATTAAATTGCGCAAAAGTTTTTGCCCGCTAGTGCAATAAGAATCCGTCAATATTGTCGTAGCTTCGTCCTATTTTGGTCACGTCCACAAAATGTAACCGCGATGCGTCGCGTAAGAAACCGGGTGTGCCGATTCATTTTTTGTGCGTCCGTCACAAAAGGTTTCTAGCGTTAAAGGAAATAAAGGTCACACGTTTCTATTAGAAAGAGCAAAATAAAAACACGGAAAATTGTAGTTTCGGCGAAGCGCCGAGGTCGGACTCATTCTAAACACATCAAAAACTATTGGAAAAACCCAATTTCAACCTAACTGATTTGAGAAATCAGTTTCTCTATGTGGTATTAAACAAACAAGTGCCTTTGTTATAAGTGTACGAAGTTGTTATTCGACCAAATAAACCGTCGGCTATTTGACCGGGACCTGCGAGGATCGTACGCATACGATTTTAATGGGATTGTAGTCGGGATGATTGTGGGCATTAAACAAGTCATTACACTGTGGTATTATTTAATTGTAGAAGTTTCTGTGGGCAAAAGTATTGTTTTATTTTAGATCTCGGTCAAATAATCAGTGGTTATTGTGCCAAGTACCGGTCAAATAACCCTTGCCTATAATATAATAGTTTTACAGTGTTGTGTATTATAGTATAGCTATTGGTCACATTTCCAGGAAGCTTCAAGGACCAACAACACATCTCCACGGCAAGCTCAGACTCCGTTAACGGAGAAACGCCGCCGACCCATGGGAGGCGAGACCGACGTCGTCACTTCGCGTCGCGTCGTCGGGCGTACGAGTCGAGTGCATTAGAGTACTTGTATTGAAATGCACTTGTACACTAATCCTATAAAAGTGGGCATTTACGTAATCTTTTGTGTCTAAAGTCACGTCCCATTGGTGTCGGTGGAACGCGACACGTCAAAAATATTGCCCAGATTCACGTTTTCCATCCCATACCAAATTTTGAATGTGTGTTTATTTTGTTTTTCTTTAAAGTACAGTACAGTATAATATATTAATAACTTTAAGCTTCGTTTTTAAAGCCTAATTTCATTGTTATTAATTATGATACTCTACAAATACTGTGCTACTTTTTCTACTTGTATGATTCAGTTGAGCTAATTAAACTTTTATTTGCATAGTGTTGAAGAAGACTACTGTACATAGTTTAAATTTTTACATATCAACAGTGCAGTACTTTATCTTAAGTAATATTTTCAGGCACTTTCTCTATCACTGCCTAAAGTGGACCTGAACCTTTGGACCTGATGTGAACTAGAATGAAGTTGGCTGGACCTCAAGTACTCTGTGGTATTGTATTTAATATTGTTCTGGTACTTTGAATGTTCGGAAAGTTCTACAGGCATTCCCCAGTTTATAAGAGTATTATGCCTTAAGAACGTATATTAAATCGAATTAATATTCCTATAGACGCGCATTATAAAAGCCAAGATACTTTTCTACAATGAAAAAAGTTCCCCCAAAATTATGTACAGTCCCCCAAAAAGTATCGATAGATTTTCTTGCGGTAAATTTTGAAACTCCAGATGAAATACATTGATGTGATCCCCATTGCGTCAGCATAAGTTGGTACGCCTGCTCACTATAGCGGCAACGGCTATAGACGGCGGGTAGCGAGGGAGTCATCCTCGTGTGACATACAACTGTATTGTATATGCTTTACAATAACAAGAAATTCATTAAGCAATATTAATGTATGTATCGTGCTGGGTAGAAACAAGGCCCCAACCGAGGATTACAATAATATCAAAATATACGTTAAATGGAAGAGTCTTGGAATGTCGCAACCGAGACGGACCTCGAGGCGGACATTTCACCACCGTGTCGTAGTGACAGTTTCATTCGTACCGAGTTGCAGAATATAGTCGTCGACAACACGTCTGATTTATGAGAGGTGACCAAGGAAATAGTAGTTGATATTAGAGTGAACAGCTACAGCAATATACAGTATGTCGGTCTAATTGGGATCTGCCAAATATCATTGATACGTAAATGCTGTCGGTTTAACGTCACAATAAGAATTTAAATCGGCGCGTCGCCGGTCGTTTCATGGCGCCTGACCCGTCGCAATACCGCGGGTTCGCTCACCCCGTTGCGTCTTTCCGATAATTCCTCGGTTCGTTTGACGTAAGAACCCATTAATGACCGGCACGGCGTCGGCGTCCATTTACGACACGCAATCTCAATTCGCTTGACGTGCGATCGGAAGCCTCGGAGGATTCGCATCTCTCAAAGACATACGTATGCTCATTCGTGCTCGGAGGTGTAGCGTAGAGTTAGCAACAGTTCTGAAACGGGTCGTGTAACATTGGTCGAATAGCCCCGAATCACGTCGACCCCGTGGCTAAAGATATTATTTTGGGTTGACCGTACACGTCGATTATAAGCCAATACAGGAGCTTCTCGACAGACGGACGAGTCGAGTTCCCGAGGCTCGTTCTCGAGTCCGACTAAACTCTCGTAGATAATGATATACAGTAGAGCTATACCGTATATAGCCAGCACATTACGGTACAGTCGGTCCCCGACTTACGACGGGGATAGGGACCGGCGACCGGGTCGCAAGTCGAAAATAATACCGTACAGAGAAAATCTAAAACGGGTGTCTCTCTCTCTTCTCGGCACCACGAGAACTCTCACTCTTACGCTTGCCAGCCATTTTAAAGGGAATTACAAACAAAATTTTTTTCTATACACAGCGCAATCACTAACGTCGGGACTCGAAAATAGGTAATTTGACAAAATTTTGGTACGACCGAGGCAGTAGTATGTCGAGTAGGTCGTAAGTCGAGGAGTAGCTGTATTTAACTAATGATAACAGAAAAAGTTATTTCTTTAATGTTTTGTTTTTGTGTTTTAATGTTTTGTCGGCGAGTCGGTTCTCGTCTTCAACGTTTAGGTCACGAGGGAGGCTTAAATATATCCAGAAAAAAAAGTTTTTGCTCCTGCGTAAATATCACAATAGATTTGCACTGTCCTCTGTTTGGTCACAGCAGATTATGTGAAATTCGAGCGAGAGAGATTTAAATAATAAATCCCGCAAAATTGTGCGTCTCTCCCGGAAGCACGATAAGAATCCGTCGACATCGTCGCAGTTTCGTTCTACGTCGGTCGCATCCACGAAATGTAAACACTATTGGACTGTACGAAACCGGGTATGCCGATTCAATTTTTGCTCGTCCATCGCAAGAAGTTAGATAGTTTAGATTAGTTTAGGTTAGGTAGGGTTTTCAATGTTTTTTTTTTAACCCTTCATGTTGAAAGTAACTTTGTTTGGAAGATTCATTGTTTTTGATAGTGTAAGGAAATTAAGATCATATTTATTTATTAGAAAAAATCCAAATAAATACTGGTAAAATTATCGTTTTGGCCGTGCATCTATTTTCCAAAAGTCATAATCGTTCAAAATATCCGTAAACACCGTTGGAAAAAGATAATTTCAACCTAACGTAACCTATTTGAGTAATCGGTTTCTCCATGTGGTGTTAAACTAATAAGTAATGTTTATTTTTAATACAAAGTTGTTATTTGACCCGGATTCTGGGCCAAATGACCGTCGGCTATTTGACCGGGACCTGCGGGGATCGTATGGGATTGTAGTCGGGATGGTTGGGGGCATTAAACAAGTCATTCCATTATGGTATTATTTAATTGTATAATTTCTGTTGACAAAAGGATTTAGTTTTATTTTAGATCTGTCAAATAAGCGGCGGTTATTGTGCCGAGTACCGGTCAAATAATCCATGCCTATAATATAATAGTTTTACAGTGTTGTGTATTATATAGCTATTGGTCACATTTCTAGGAAGCTTCAAGGACCAACAACACATCTCGGTACGACAAGTGGAGACTCGACCGTACAGACCCGTCCGGTCTCACACACGACGCCGTTAACGGCAAACGGAGAAACGCCGCCGCCGACCCGCGGGAGGTAAGACCGACGTCGTCACTTCGCGTCGCGTCGTCGGGCGTATTAGAGGACTTGTATTTAAGTGCACTTGTACAGTAATCCTATAAAAGTGGACATTTATGTAAATGTTTGTGTCTAAAGTCACTTCCCATTGGTGTCGGTGGTACAGGACCTCTCAAAATTGTGGCCCAGATTCACGTTTTTCATCCCAAACCAAATTTTGAATGTGTGTTTATTTCGTTATTCCTTAAAGTACAGTGCAGTATATTAATAACTTTTAGCTTCGTTTTCAAAACATAATGTCATTGTTTATTAATTATGATTCTTTACAAATGCTGTACTACTTTTTCTGCCTGTATGTTTCAATTCAGTTAATGAAACTTTTATTTGCATAGTTTTGAAGAAGACTACAGTACTTAGTACATAGTTTAAATGTTTGCATATCAACAGTGCAGTACTTTATCTTAAGTAATATTTTCAGGTACTTTCTCCATCACTGCCATAAGTGGACCTGATGTGAACTAGAATGAAGTTGGCTGGACCTGCAGTGAAGTGGACCTGAAGCTAACTGGACCTCAAGTAGTCTGTGGTATTGTATTTAATATTGTTGTGGTACTTTGAATGTTAGGAAAGTTGTACAGGCATTCCCCAGTTTGTAAGAGTACTGTGTCTTATAAAAACCTATGGTAAATCGAATCAATATTCCTATAGACTCACATTATAAAAGCCAAGATACTTTTCTTCAATGAAAAAAGTTCCCCCCAATTATGTAGTCTCCAAAAAGTATCGATAGATTTTCTAGCGGTAAAATTTGAAACGCTGGGTGAAAGACTTTGATGTGATCTCCAGTGCATCAGCATAAATTGGTACAGGTACATCCGGTCACTATATGAGCAACAGCCATAGACGGCGGGTAGCGAGAGAGGGAGTCATCCTCGTGTGACATACAACCGTACAGTATATGCTTTACTATAACAAGAAATCCATTAAGCTATATTAATGTATGTATCGTGCTGGGTAGAAGCAAGGCATATGTAAAGAAGCCCCTGACTGAGGATTACAATAACATGGAAATATACTTTAAATGGAAGAGTTTCGGATCACAACCGAGGCGGACCTCGAGGCGGACATTTCACCACCGTGTCGTAGTGACGGTTTCATTCTTACCGAGTTGCAGAATATAGTCGTCGACGACAGAGGACAGTGCAAATCTATTGTGATATTTACGCAGGAGCAAAAACTTTTTTTTCTAGATATATTTAAGCCTCCCTCGTGACCTAAACGTTGAAGACGAGAACCGACTCACCGACAAAACATTAAAACACAAAAACGAAACATTAAAGGAAATAGTAGTTGATATTAGAGTGAACAGCTACAGCAATATACAGTATATCGGTCTAATTGGGATCTGCCAAATATTATTGATTCGTAAATAGTGTCGGTTTAACGTCACAATAAGAACTTAAATCGGCGCGTCGCCGGTCGTTTCATGGATGTTGGCTGACCCATCGCGATATCGCGGGTTCGCTCGCCCCGTTGCGTCTTTCCGATAATTCCTCGGTTCGTTTGACGTAAGATCCCATTAATGACCGGCACGGCGTCGGCGTCCATTTACGACACGCAATCTCAATTCGCGTAACGTGCGATCGGAAGCCTCGGAGGATTTGCATCTTTCAAAAACATATGTATACTCATTCGTGCTCAGAGGTGTAGACGTAGAGTTAGCAAAGAGTTCTGAAACAGGTCGTGTAACATTGGTCGAATAGCCTCGAATCACGTCGACCCCCGTGGCTAAAGATATTATTTTGGGGTGACCGTACATGTCGATTATAAGCCAATACAGGAGCTTCTCGACAGACAGACGAGTCGAGTTCCCGAGGCTTGTTCGCGAGTCCAACTTAACTCTTGTAGATAATGATAAACACTAGAGCTATACTGTATATACCCAGCACATTACGGTACAGTCGGTCCCCGACTTACGACAGGGTTAGGGACCGGCGACCGGGTCGCAAGTCGAAAATAATACCGTACATAGAAAATCTAAAATGGGTGTCTCTCTCTCTTCTCGGCACCACGAGAACTCTCACTCTTACGCTTGCCAGCCATTTTAAAGGGAATTGCAAACAAAAATTTTGTCGGTACACAGCGCAATCACTAACGTCGGGACTCGAAAATAGGTAATTTGACAAAATTTTCGTACGACCGAGGCAGTAGTATGTCGAGTAGGTCGTAAGTCGAGGAGTAGCTGTATTTAACTAATGATAACAGAAAAAGTTATTTCTTTAATGTTTTGTTTTTGTGTTTTAATGTTTTGTCGGCGAGTCGGTTCTCGTCTTCAACGTTTAGGTCACGAGGGAGGCTTAAATATATCTAGAAAAAAAAGTTTTTGCTCCTGCGTAAATATCACAATAGATTTGCACTGTCCTCTGTTTGGTCACAGCAGATTGTGTGAAATTCGAGCAAGAGAGATTTAAATAATAAATCCCGCAAAATTGTGCGTCTCTCCCGGAAGCACGATAAGAATCCGTCGACATCATCGCAGTTTCGTTCTACGTCGGTCACGTCCACGAAATGTAAACACTATTGGACTGTACGAAACCGGGTATGCCGATTAAATTTTTGCTCGTCCATCGCAAGAAGTTAGGTAGTTTAGATTAGATTAGGTTAGGTAGGGTTTTCAATGTTTTTTTTTAACCCTTCATGTTGAAAGTAACTTTGTTTGGAAGATTCATTGTTTTTGTTAGTGTAAGGAAATTAAGATCATATTTATTTATTAGAAAAAATCCAAATAAATACTGGTAAAATTATCGTTTTGGCCGTGCACCTATTCTCCAAAAGTCATAATCGTTCAAAATATCCATAAACACCGTTGGAAAAAGATAATTTCAACCTAACGTAACCTATTTGAGTAATCAGTTTCTCCATGTGGTGTTAAACTAATAAGTAATGTTTATTTTTAAAACAAAGTTGTTATTTGACCCGGATTCTGGGCCAAATAACAGTCGACTATTTGACCGGGACCTGCGGGGATCGTATGGGATTTTAATGGGATAGTAGTCGGGATGGTTGGGGGCATTAAACAAGTCATTACATTATGGTATTATTTAATTGTATAATTTCTGTTGACAAAAGGATTTAGTTTTATTTTAGATCTGTCAAATAAGCGGCGGTTATTGTGCCGAGTACTGGTCAAATAATCCCTGCCTATAATATAATAGTTTTACAGTGTTGTGTATTATATAGGTATCTGTTACATTTCCAGGAAGCTTCAAGGACCAACAACACATCTCGGTACGACAAGTGGAGACTCGACCGTACAGACCCGTCCGGTCTCGCATACGACGCCGTTAACGGCAAACGGAGAAACGCCGCCGCCGACCCGCGGGAAGTAAGACCGACGTCGTTACTTAGCGTCGTGTCATCGGGCGTACGAGCCGAGCCTATTAGAGGACTTGTATTTAAGTGCACTTGTACAGTAATCCTATAAAAGTGGACATTTATGTAAATGTTTGAGTCTAAAGTCACTTCCCATTGGTGTCGGTGGTACGGGACCTCTCAAAACTGTGGCCCAGATTCACGTTTTCCATCCCATACCAAATTTTGAATGTGTGTTTATTTAGTTTTTCTTTAAAGTACAATACTGTGTAATATATTAATAACTTTAAGCTTCGTTTTGAAAACATAATGCCATTGTTTTTTAATTATGATTCTTTACAAATGCTGTACTACTTTTTATACCTTTTTCTGCTTGTATGTTTCAATTCAGTTAATGAAACTTTTATTTGCATAGTTTTGAAGAAGACTACAGTACTTAGTACATAGTTTAAATGTTTGCATATCAACAGTGCAGTACTTTATCTTAAGTAATATTTTCAGGTACTTTCTCCATCACTGCCTAAAGTGGACCTGAAATTTTGGACCTGAAGCTAACTGGACCTCAAGTAGTCTGTGGTATTGTATTTAATATTGTTGTGGTACTTTGAATGTTAGGAAAGTTGTACAGGCATTCCCCAGTTTAAAAGAGTACTGTGTCTTATAAAAACCTATAGTAAATCGAATCAATATTCCTATAGACTCACATTATAAAAGCGTAGATACTTTTCTTCAATGAAAAAAGTTCCCCCCAAATTATGTAGTCTCCAAAAAGTATCGATTGATATTCTAGCGGTAAAATTTGAAACGCTGGGTGAAATACTTTGATGTGATCTCGAGTGCATCAGCATAAATTGGTACAGGTACATCCGGTCACTATATGAGCAACAGCCATAGACGGCGGGTAGCGAGAGAGGGAGTCATCCTCGTGTGACATACAACCGTACAGAATATGCTTTACTATAACAAGAAATCCATTAAGCTATATTAATGTATGTATCGTGCTGGGTAGAGGCAAGGCATATGTAAAGAAGCCCCTGACTGAGGATTACAATAACATGGAAATATACTTTAAATGGAAGAGTTTCGGAACATCACAACCGAGACGGACCTCGAGGCGAACATTTCACCACCGTGTCGTAGTGACGGTTTCATTCGTACCGAGTTGCAGAATATAGTCGTCGACGACACGTATGATTTATGAGAGGTGACCAAGGAAATAGTAGTTGATATTAGAGTGAACAGCTACAGCAATATACAATATATCGGTCTAATTGGGATCTGCCAAATATTATTGATTCGTAAATAGTGTCGGTTTAACGTCACAATAAGAATTTAAATCGGCGCGTCGCCTGTCGTTTCATGGATGTTGGCTGACCCATCGCGATATCGCGGGTTCGCTCGCCCCATTGCGTCTTTCCGATAATTCCTCGGTTCGTTTGACGTAAGATCCCATTAATGACCGGCACGGCATCGGCGTCCATTTACGACACGCAATCTCAATTCGCGTAACGTGCGATCGGAAGCCTCGGAGGATTTGCATCTTTCAAAAACATATGTATACTCATTCGTGCTCAGAGGTGTAGACGTAGAGTTAGCAAAGAGTTCTGAAACAGGTCGTGTAACATTGGTCGAATAGCCTCGAATCACGTCGACCCCCGTGGCTAAAGATATTATTTTGGGGTGACCGTACATGTCGATTATAAGCCAATACAGGAGCTTCTCGACAGACAGACGAGTCGAGTTCCCGAGGCTTGTTCGCGAGTCCAACTTAACTCTTGTAGATAATGATAAACAGTAGAGCTATACTGTATATACCCAGCACATTACAGTACAGTCGGTCCCCGACTTACGACAGGGTTAGGGACCGGCGACCGGGTCGCAAGTCGAAAATAATACCGTACATAGAAAATCTAAAATGGGTGTCTCTCTCTCTTCTCGGCACCACGAGAACTCTCACTCTTACGCTTGCTAGCCAATTTAAAGGGAATTGCAAACAAAAATTTTGTCGGTACACAGCGCAATCACTAACGTCGGGACTCGAAAATAGGTAATGTGACAAAATTTTGGTACGACCGAGGCAGTAGTATGTCGAGTAGGTCGTAAGTCGAGGAGTAGCTGTATTTAACTAATGATAACAGAAAAAGTTATTTCTTTAATGTTTTGTTTTTGTGTTTTAATGTTTTGTCTGTGAGTCGGTTCTCGTCTTCAACGTTTAGGTCACGAGGGAGGCTTAAATATATCTAGAAAAAATAGTTTTTGCTCCTGCGTAAATATCACAATAGATTTGCACTGTCCTCTGTTTGGTCACAGCAGATTGTGTGAAATTCGAGCAAGAGAGATTTAAATAATAAATCCCGCAAAATTGTGCGTCTCTCCCGGAAGCACGATAAGAATCCGTCGACATCGTCGCAGTTTCGTTCTACGTCGGCCACGTCCACGAAATGTAAACACTATTGGACTGTACGAAACCGGGTATGCCGATTAAATTTTTGCTCGTCCATCGCAAGAAGTTAGGTAGTTTAGATTAGATTAGGTTAGGTAGGGTTTTCAATGTTTTTTTTTAACCCTTCATGTTGAAAGTAACTTTGTTTGGAAGATTCATTGTTTTTGTTAGTGTAAGGAAATTAAGATCATATTTATTTATTAGAAAAAATCCAAATAAATACTGGTAAAATTATCGTTTTGGCCGTGCACCTATTCTCCAAAAGTCATAATCGTTCAAAATATCCATAAACACCGTTGGAAAAAGATAATTTCAACCTAACGTAACCTATTTGAGTAATCAGTTTCTCCATGTGGTGTTAAACTAATAAGTAATGTTTATTTTTAAAACAAAGTTGTTATTTGACCCGGATTCTGGGCCAAATAACAGTCGGCTATTTGACCGGGACCTGCGGGGATCGTATGGGATTTTAATGGGATTGTAGTCGGGATGGTTGGGGGCATTAAACAAGTCATTACATTATGGTATTATTTAATTGTATAATTTCTGTTGACAAAAGGATTTAGTTTTATTTTAGATCTGTCAAATAAGCGGCGGTTATTGTGCCGAGTACTGGTCAAATAATCCCTGCCTATAATATAATAGTTTTACAGTGTTGTGTATTATATAGCTATTGGTCACATTTCCAGGAAGCTTCAAGGACCAACAACACATCTCGGTACGGCAAGTGGAGACTCCACCGTACAGACCCGTCCGGTCTCGCATACGACGCCGTTAACGGCAAACGGAGAAACGCCGCCGCCGACCCGCGGGAAGTAAGACCGACGTCGTTACTTAGCGTCGTGTCATCGGGCGTACGAGCCAAGCGTATTAGAGGACTTGTATTTAAGTGCACTTGTACAGTAATCCTATAAAAGTGGACATTTATGTAAATGTTTGTGTCTAAAGTCACTTCCCATTGGTGTCGGTGGTACGGGACCTCTCAAAACTGTGGCCCAGATTCACGTTTTCCATCCCATACCAAATTTTGAATGTGTGTTTCTTTAGTTTTTCTTTAAAGTACAATACTGTGTAATATATTAATAACTTTAAGCTTCGTTTTGAAAACATAATGCCATTGTTTTTTAATTATGATTCTTTACAAATGCTGTACTACTTTTTATACCTTTTTCTGCTTGTATGTTTCAATTCAGTTAATGAAACTTTTATTTGCATAGTTTTGAAGAAGACTACAGTACTTAGTACATAGTTTAAATGTTTGCATATCAACAGTGCAGTACTTTATCTTAAGTAATATTTTCAGGTACTTTCTCCATCACTGCCTAAAGTGGACCTGAAATTTTGGACCTGAAGCTAACTGGACCTCAAGTAGTCTGTGGTATTGTATTTAATATTGTTGTGGTACTTTGAATGTTAGGAAAGTTGTACAGGCATTCCCCAGTTTGTAAGAGTACTGTGTCTTATAAAAACCTATAGTAAATCGAATCAATATTCCTATAGACTCACATTATAAAAGCGTAGATACTTTTCTTCAATGAAAAAAGTTCCCCCCAAATTATGTAGTCTCCAAATGTATCGATTGATATTCTAGCGGTAAAATTTGAAACGCTGGGTGAAATACTTTGATGTGATCTCGAGTGCATCAGCATAAATTGGTACAGGTACATCCGGTCACTATATGAGCTACAGCCATAGACGGCGGGTAGCGAGAGAGGGAGTCATCCTCGTGTGACATACAACCGTACAGTATATGCTTTACTATAACAAGAAATCCATTAAGCTATATTAATGTATGTATCGTGCTGGGTAGAAGCAAGGCATATGTAAAGAAGCCCCTGACTGAGGATTACAATAACATGGAAATATACTTTAAATGGAAGAGTTTCGGAACATCACAACCGAGACGGACATTTCACCACCGTGTCGTAGTAACCGTTTCATTCGTACCGAGTTGGAGAATATAGTCATCGACTAAGCAATTAGTAGTTGATCTTAGAGTGAACAGCTACAGCAATATACAATATATTGGTGTAAATGGAATCTGCCAAAATAAGATTTTAATTTGGCGCGTCGCTGGTCGTTTCGTGGCGGGTAACCCACGGCGATGCCACGGGTTCTCTCGTCCCAGTCTGCCGAGTTATCCGAGCGTTAAGTTTACCCTCGTCGCGAAGGCAAATAATAGCACCTCTCACCCCGTTGGGTCTTTCTGATAATTCCTCGGTTCATTTGACGTAAGATCCCATTAATGACCGGCACGGCGTCGGCGTCCATTTACGACACGCAATCGGAATTCGCGTAATATGCGATCCGAAGCCTTGGAGGATTCGTAACTTTCAAAAACGTATGTATACTCATTTGTGCTCAGAGGTGTAGATGTAGAGTTTGCAACAGTTCAGAAACAGGTCGTGCAACATTGGTCGGAAATCCTCAAATAACGTCGACCCAGTGGCTAAAGATATTATCTCGGGGTGACCGTACACGTCAATTATAAGTCAATACTGTATAGGAGCTTTTCGACCGACAAACGAGTCAAGTTCCTGAGGCTTGTTCGCGAGTTAAACTTAATTCTTGTAGATAATGATATACTGTAGAGCTATGCTGTATATAACCAGCACATTACGGTACAGTCGGTCCCCGACTTACGACGGGGTTAGGGACCGGCGACCGGGTCGCAAGTCGAAAATGGGAAAATAATACCGTACATAGAAAATCTATAATGGGTGTCTCTTTTTCTTCTCGGCACCACGAAACTCTCACTCTTACGCTTGCCAGCCATTTTAAAAAGAATTACAAACAAAAATTTTTGTCGGTACACAGCGCAATCACTAACGCCCTCCTGCCGCCGTTAATCGCCCGTAAGGCGATTACTGCCACTCATTCTTATCGCCTCACTGCCGCCGTTAATCGTCCGTAAGGCGATTGCTGCCACTCATTCTTATTGCCCCCCTGCCGCCGCTAATCGCCCGTAAGGCGATTGCTGCCACTCATTCTTATCGCCTCCCTGTCGCCGTTAATCGCCTGTAAGGCGATTGCTGCCACTCATTCTTATTGCCCCGCACCGCCTGTGAAGGCGATTGCTGCCACTCATTCTTATCGCCCCC